TTATTGTTATAAATTTATCTTTTTAAATATAATTAAAAAATTAAAAATAACAAAAAAAATTAAAGCTAATAAAAAACAAAGCCCACGCAAAACAAAAAAAAGAAAGGAAGTTAAATGGAAATATTACGTAGACAACTTTACTTAAAGATGGTAATTGGTCGGATAGGGATATGTTTATATTTATCTCGATTTTGATATGGCATCAAGTTATTATTTTTTTTAGATATTCACATATAAACTATAAAATATTATTTATTTTTATTCGAATATCTCATGGTTTTATTTTTTTAAAAATGCATCACAAGTTTAAATTTAAATTTTTACTTATATATTATAATGAATCTTTAAAACATCTCAATATATGATTGAAGTATCACAAACTCTCTTATTAAAGCATGACATCATCGTATCACACCATACATTAAGATTTTAAATGTGGTTTCTATAGTGTAACAATTAACATTCATAATTACTTTGATACCATTTATGGAGATCCACACCAAACCAATAAAGTATTATCTATTTTGATTTTATAATTTTATAATTTTATCTCATAAAAAATACTTCACAAATATAAGTTTAAGTCTCCACTTATATATCATAACAGATTCTTAAAACATCTTAATGTGAGATTAAGGTGTTACAATTTTTTAACACCCAATTTCAACTCATCATATATATATATATGTATGTACGTATAATTCACATTTGACTTGATTTAACAAAAAAAATCAAATCAATGGTAAAAATTTCATGAAAATAATATTTTTTAATATAAATTATATTTTAATTATATAAAAAATATAATATTTTTAAATGAATAGATTAAATAATAACTTTATTAATATAATATATAAATTAAATTAAATAAATAATAAAAAATATATTTTTATATATACCCTAAAAGGGAGTGAGGCGAAACACCCTCGATTTGCCTCTAACCCAATCTCAATTTAAAAAAAACAAATCCTTCCTTAATCTAATTCTTACTAAAAAAATTGTCTGTATTGAAACAACAGGTTGAAACTCATAAGATACAAATTGACCCCATTTATTACAAAATTTATTTATTTATTTTTGAAAAAAAGAAAGAGCAAAAACTAAAAAAAAATGAAATGGCCAAAAAAAGAAAAAATAATTAAATGGGAGCGCCACTCGAAAACATTAATTGGGTATTTATATTTTCAAATATAAATAAAAATATTAGAATAGACAATTAAAAACAAAAAAGAACAAAAAAGCTAAAACTAAAAATATGGTCTAAGCAAAAAAAAATCCAAAATAATGAAGGTGCTATGTAAATACTTTTATTTAAGGAAAACAATGGATTAGGTTGGAAGTAAGTTTATGCTCATCTTAACTTTGACTTGACCTTTTTAATAATTCAACTTTACTTTGATTTCCACATGATATTGAGTTTTTATTTATTTGTATTTGATCCTTGTACTACATATATATAACCTACAGGCAATTTGATTTTGATCAAAAATTAATTTGATAATTTTAATTTAATATAATGTTCATAAAAATATTATTTTTTAATATAAATTATATTTTAATTATGTATAAATATAATATTTTTATTAAATTAAGGTATTAAATAATAGTTTTATGGATATAATATATATAATTAAAGTAAATAATAAAAAATATATATTTTATATTTACCCAACATGAGGTGGAGCATCCAAAATTCACTTTCTGATTGGACTCTAATGTTCAAAAAAAAAAAAAAACTCTATTTGATCTCAAATTTAAAAAAAAATTGTACATATTAGAACGAAATAAGTAGAAACTCATAGGTTGCAAGTTATTTTATTATCCTTATTTTTCGTACAAAATTTATCTAATTTTAAAAATATTAAAAACTAAAAAAAATAAAATGAAAAAAAAGAAAAAGAACCTAAATGGGTGCTATATGAATTTATTAAATTAAAGTATTAAATATTAAAATTTTTAATATAAAATATATTAATATACAGTAATATAAAATTAAATTAATAATAAAAATATTTTTTCTATATATCTTGAGTGAGAAGGAACATTATCAAATTGCTTTTATCATGATCTCAATTTTGAAAAAAGAAAAAACATTAACTCGATTTTGAGTTTTTTTTTAAATACACCTATTAGATGGAAACAAATTGATATATGTCAAATATAGATTATTTTATTATCTCTACCTTAACTATTTTTTTCTTACAAAATTTATATAATAAAGATTAAAAACAAAAAACTTTAATAAAAAATAAAAAAATAAAAATATAGATTTCGAAGAAAGGTGAGGGTGCCACGAAGCACCTATATCTATAAAATAAACTATTAGACTAGCATAATACGCGCACGAAGCCGTGTGTCATTTTTTTTGCTATTTTTATTTATTAAATTTTATTGTAAAATTTACCTAAAGAAAATAAAAGACCAAAGATAAAAAAAAAGAAAAAAAGAAAGCCAAATGGAGATAACACATGTATATTTCAATTGGTCTAATTTTTCTCATAAAATTTATCTAACAAAAAAAAGTAAAAATAAAAATAAAAAATAAAAAATAAAAAACAAAAAACAAATAAGTTTACAGAGGATGCTATATGGATACTTTCAGTGAGTTTAAAATATTAATTTTTAAAATTAAAATATCAAATAATATATAATAAAATTAAAAATAATATATATTTTTTATATATATAAAAAATAGATTGAGACAGAGTACACTAAATATGTTTTTGCTTTGATTTTGTTTTTCTAAAAAAAACTCAATTCCGTCCCAACTCAATTTCAATTTAAAAATAATTACTTCATATTGAATCAAGATAGATTAAAAACAAATAATTTTGGTATCTCTATCAATTGATAATTTTTATTTTAAAATCTATCTAATTAAAAAATATATAAATAAAAAGTCAATTGGGGGTTTCATTGGATATTTTCATCGGCCTCTTTTTTTTAATAAAATTAATTTAACTTAAAAAACCAGTAAAACAAAAAAAAAAAAAAGCTTATTAGAACACAACATGACATTCCAAATGAGTTTAAAATGTTAATGTTTTAAATTAAGCTATAAAATAATAACTTAAATAATATAATACATATATGTAAATACAAAATTAAATAGATAATAAAATATTGATAATAAAAAATAAAAAAATAAAAAAATTTTAAACAATAATATTAAATGAGTAGCACTAAAATATTTTATAATATTAAAAAATATTCATCAAATATTAAAAAAAAAGGTAAAGAATAAAAAAAAAAAATGACTTGACACGTGATATACTTTAAGTATCAAATGAGTTACACAAAAATAAATAATTTAAAATTTAAAATATTTATTAATATATAAAAAATAAAAAAATAAAAAAATAGGTGACAAACCTTTGATATCAAGTGAATTTCATATCAAGTGAATTTCATACAAAAAAATTAAAACCTTTAAAAAAATTATAAAAAAATTGTAAAAAGAAAAATAAAAAAAGAAGGAAAAAAAAGATTGGTATAAAGTAGGTCCAATTTTAAAAAGCTTAAATGAAAAAAATTATTAGATATAAAAAAATATTAAAAAAGCAATAAAAAGTTTTTAAAAAATAAAAAATTTTAAAAAATAAAAATAATTGAAGAATGCAATGTGACACCCGAGTTAAATTTTATACGGAAACAAATTTTATTTAAAATAAAAAAAGAGAAAAAACAGTTTGATAAGGTGGATCCCACCTAAAAAAAATTGAAATCTTTAAAAGATATATTTAAAAAAATTAAAAAAAAATCTAGGAAAAAACTAAAAAATTAAAAAAGGAAAAGGAAAAACTCAAGAAGAAAGAAGCAACTGGTGCCATGATTGTATTTTCCCTATGCCATCCATTCCATGTACTCCAATTTCATTCGAACCTCAGCACCCATCAAATAAATACTCTCAAATTTCGTCTTTAACCTCAGTTTCACCACAGATCCAAATATTGCCTACAAGCTCCATATAAACCATACCTCTTGTAATGCAAATGTCCTTTAAATCAAAATATAAGTTTGTTTCAATAGTTATATGTGATTGTCATTCCACGAAGTTTAACAAATTCTTGGCAACAGCAGATAGAAACTAAATCAATCGATTGCGATTCAAAAAACTTGGTTTTTTTCTGTTCAATTAAGTTATATAATTTTGATCATTAACAGGGGAAGTCGTGTCATAAATAAATCAAAGTTTGAACCATTCCAATACAATATTCCTATGAAATAATTAATCCAAAGAGGAAACCATGCCACAGTTAAAGATTCTAATTAAGAATATGCCAAAAATGAAAGAAAAATAAGAAATAATTAAACATTTCACCAGGTATAGTTGGGTGATATGGCATATACCTGGTGAAATGGCACCAGCCAGCAGTACTTCAATGGATTCTGGATTTAAATCAGGAAAAGTAAAGGCAATAAGATACCTACCAAAGTCTCCTGTAAAAGAATCTGCTATCAATCAGCTAGATTGAAGAGTAGGATAATGCTCTAGGAAGTTGATCATATGAATGAAATATGATTTAAAATAAGGAGTTAAAAATAAAGACACTAGTAATTAATCTCCAAAAGCATAAATAAAGAATGAATCGTTGAAGAATGGATTGAAAAAAAAAGAGATAATCAAGGAAATTAATTAACCATCCCATATAATTAGAAACTACTTGGTTTAAAGTTTACAACACAGACCAAATTCCATTACATACAAAAGAAGGAAACAAGTTTTGAATTAAGTTCATTCTATCCAACATTGACGCCCATATCAATAGGGTGATTTTGCACATGGAGCAGAGCTCCACCAAAAAATAACCGATCGATTGAGGTCCATCAGCAAGTGGGGTTTTGCTGTCATTGACAATATTAACAAAAAAAAAAAAAAAAAAAAACAAAAGAAAGAAAAGAGCAATTATTTAGTGGGTTCCCCTGAAAAGAAGCTGATAATTAATATTTGCAGTTTCAAAAACAAGCGAAGAACTTTACCAGTGAGAGAGCAGTCAAAGTTCATTTATTCAAAAAGCGTGAAAGGACATGCTTAGCTTGAGGGTGATCCCATTCCAATGATTCCCACCATTCACTCGACCATACATTGATATGTCGCAGAGAAGGAGGAGGAGATGGTTGCCCATTTTCAAGCAGGGGAAGAGCCAAAGGGATCCTCTTTAGTTTCGGACAGTTAAATATTTGAAGATCTTGAAGAGAACGAATCATAGCTCCACCACCACAAATGCTTTTCAGTGCTGGTAAGTTGATCAACACCAATTCCTTTAATTTGGGAAGAATAATCGCTCCTTCTCCGTGATTTTCTTCTTCTCCTGATGCTATTATTTCCTCCATTTTCCAGCATGAGTACAGTTCAATGTTCTCTAAGTTTTGGAGGCCTTGCAGCAGCTCAACTGGAAACAACTTCTTAATCTTTGAACAATAATTCAGATGCAACCCTTTTAGAGAAGAGAAGATGGCAAGTGCATAAGATTTCGATTCAACCGCTACTGATCCTACTCTTACAATTTCACTCAAGTTGCCCAAATTCACAAGCCTAAGCTCCTCCATGTTATGAAGTGCGTTTAAAGACGATAATGACAAGTCCACCACACAATCTATCCCTTCACACTCCCAAATATCACAACTCTTCAACTCAGTTACTTTATGAAAGAAAGGAATATTGCTTAAACAGTTGAAATCATCACTCTTCTCAGTACCTAAACCACTAAGGCCATTTGGGACATGTATGTGATCTATTTTCACCATATCACAATTAACAAAAGCTACCCCGTTCTGAAATTGCTTTAAACTTGGGACCGCCGAATACTGGGAAAGTGACAACTCAGATGCACCTACTTGAAAATAGAAATTTGTAGGCCATTTACCTTGTATGGACTTTGCATATTCCTCGAACTCTTGGATGTTACAAAATGAACATTCAAGTATCTCAAGCTTCCTCAGTTTGCCCACTTCTTCTCCTCTTAAATGCTTATTTACTATTAAGTACTGGAGATGAGAAAGCATCGGCAATATTCCAACTGGTAGCTCCTTTGGAAACCTTGACCAGACACGAAGATATGTTAGGTTTTCTAACAATTCTATACCATGAGGAACCTTTTGTATTGCAGTTTCATAAAGGTCCAGCTTTCTTAATGCTCTGAGCTCTGCTAGCGAAGGTACATATTCTAACCTAAAACAACTAGCTAGTGTCAATGCATTGAGATTTTTGCAGTTTGAGATTGAATTGGGTAAAGCCTTAATCCCTGTACTAGAAAGATTTAGAACTTTTAGCCCAGGCATGTGCTTAAAGAAAGATTCTGGAATACTAGTTAAACCTCGATTTTCTTGCAATAACAAGGTTGACAATTGAGGGCATTGGGGTGACATGTGAGGAGGAATTTTTAAATATACTGAAATTATCTTCATCAAAGAAACCTTCTCAAGATCTACAGTCCATTCATGCTCACTTTGAACTTCCTTCAATTGCATACCAGCTTTTACCATGTACTGATGACCATTACGTACAATATACAATGCCATGTCTCTCAAAACATCATGCATCTTAACGCTTTCCGAAAAGCGACCCAAGGCAAAATAATCTTGTGCCCTCTCTAACAAGCAATTATTTTCAAGCTTATTTAAAATGCTATGGCCCCTGTCATGCATTGCTTGTCTGGTCCCTAAGCCATCAAGGAGTCCCTCATCTATCCAACTTTCAATTAATTCCACTTTTTCAATTACATAATCTTCAGGATACAAGGAGCAATATAAGAAGCAATTTTGGATTTTTGAATCTCCCAAACGGTCATAACTAAATTTCAAATGCTCAAATATTTCAGTGTCCAATCCTTTCACACTTTTCACTCGCTCACATAATTCATTTAGTGCATTCCTCCATTCACAGAGATCATCTACCCCCTTCATGCTACCAGCTATTGTTACAATGGCAAGCGGTAAACCACCACATTGCTCAACAATTTTTCCGATAATGTCTTCAAGATTCTGATTTTGGAGAACACTGTGCCCCACATGATCTAAGAATAAGTTCATAGACTCTTCTTTTGAAAGAGGTTGCACTTTGACCACCTCACAACCCATAGATTTACAAACCTCAATCGATCTGGAAGTGAGTACCATTTTCCTTTCCTTACTTAATGTTGGTTCAGGGATTCCTACATCCAATAGAGAAAACCGTTTCCAAACATCATCTAAGATCAAAACATATCTCTTTCCTTCCAAAATATCTTTCAATGCTGTCGCTCGTTCCAATTTACCTCTTGGAAGAGATTGTTTGAAAGAATCTGCAATATCTTCTTGTAATTGGAAAATATTCAGTTCTTTCGAAACGGTGACCCATATCACTTTTTCAAAGTGTTCACTTTCTTTCAACAGTTGATTATTGATATGCTTCATGATGGTAGTTTTTCCTATGCCACCCATTCCACACACTCCAATCATTCCAATCTCATCACCCATCAGATACTCCCAAATTCGTTCTTTTACATCGATTTCACCTTCCAGATTTGGCATTGGTAATGTCACCCCGGAGGCTGGAGGGCCATCAACTGCCACACCTTCAGGGAAATTGCCTTGTTGGTAAATTCTCTGGACTTCTTCTATCTTTTGGCAAACAAGTTTTCCTAGGTGAGCACGTGAGAAGTACGACACATCCCAAAACTTTTCCTCAATTGTTCCCACTTCAGTGTTTTTCTTTTGTACATCTTCAAACCAGTTCTCCACTTCATTCTTTATCCTTTTTCCGTTACGAATCTCGGCTTCCATTCTTGATTCAAGGTCTTGCTTTCGAACATTTAGCTCATCCAGTTTTCTTTTCAGATTATTCACATTTCCTTCAAGTTTCCGATGATGATCTGTGTAACTCTTGATTTGACCCCCAATGTACTTTAACACTTCAAAAATTGGCCCTACAAACTCCATAAATATTAAGCCTTGTCCCTGTAGGTTAAAAAACTAACGTATATTATATCTCCATATAAGCTACTTGTACTAAAATGTTACTAAATCTCAAAATATGTTTTACCAAAAAACAAAAGTAGAAATGATGTTTTTGAAAACATTATTAGAAGCAAAAGGTAATCTGTAAATCAGATGAATGCATAAATACTATTTATGTCCCTTAGAGAACCATCACAAATTCTTGAATGTCTTGTCTATACATGGTTCCTAGTGTTGATCATTACATCATTAATAAAAGGAGAAGAAAAAAATTTTTCCATAATAATAAACAGCAAAGATCCAAGCAAATATTAATAGTTTTGAGCAGTCTTAAAAAATTTCAATCATGGATTAACAGAATTTAAACCTAATTGTAAGGAATATTATATATTTTTTTGATAATCAAAATAGGAAAGCTTGTTCTTTAATTTCTAATACTATACAGTATTTCTTTCAGCCTAATCCAGAGAATAGAGAAGCATGAAACTGAAGAAACCAAAATGTATACATGTGGAACTTGTGGAAAGATGATGAATTTATGTTATAAGGAATGTTTTATTTTTTTAAAACATTATTAAAAATAAAAATTTTTGTTTTCATCGTCTATGAGAAAAATTTTTACTTTTCTAAAAATATTTATTCACACATATGAATGTATATATACTATTTATATATGGTATTTGTGTTTCTGCCTTGGAGAACCATTCCACAAAGAGATTTAAGAAATATTTTCAAGAATAAATTGAGAGAGTATAGAATGGCATTAAAAATACCTGCAGATTTCTTCTTCAAATCATTTGGAAAAGATAAAAGAACGGAGGTCAAATAGATGAACCACAAATTTTTTGTGGAAAGTAGCTGAAATATAAAAGAGGGAAAATCACTAGTGTTATAAAGGTGAAAGTCTTATATGCTAAGCTTTTGGAATCATCCTTATTTTTTTACTCAACATATATGATTATTTTTGTTCAAGTGGATTATCCAGTCTTATATTCAAGTTAGGTTCATCCACTTATTGTCAATTAGTTTTAACTTAAATGCTTAACATAATATCAGAGCCAAAATTTTCTTTCGTTATTTTTTCCTAATTTGTTATGTGGAAGGCTTTTTTCATGTTAAAATGGGTTATTCCATATTCAATAAATTTTCAATATCTTGTAATCTTATGTCACGTCTCAGGACGGAGACATAATAGGACCATATTACTTTGAAATAAAACTCCAAAGTAATACGACGCCTATTTCATAACCATTGAAAAATCCTCAAATAAAATAAAGTTCTCAAAGAGTTTTAATATCTGTAAAATAACTAAATAACAAGTCTCCAAACCATCAATGTCAAGTATTACAATTGAAAAAAAGAAACAATACTTCATAAAATCCTATCATCTAAGTAGTTTTCTGATACTTATTCTTTTAGCTCATCACAAAACTAACCATATCATTCATATCATTTGTAAAAAAAAAAAAAGAATAAGCAAACCACAGCTCAATAAGTATTAACTCACACATCTTATCAGATCAAACATCATTTTTATATGTACTATATAGATCATTCCAAAAACAATTCAAAAATTAGCATTTTGTCAAACATTTTGTAAATCATAATTAAATATCAAAACATATCAATTCCTCAATAATAAATCATAAATCACGGTCAAACACATATTTCATATAAATAATAGATCAATCTTTAAAATCATCGTAAATCATTATCATCATAAATCATTATAATCATTATTATCATAAATCATTATTATTATTCATTTATTGTTAGCTATGGTCACTACTATAACCTGTGACATTAGCCGTGTCAATAATTTTATCCTCATGATCATTGTTAACTATTATAACCTGCTAGCCAGGACCTTATGTTAACTATTATAACCCGTTAGTAGGGCCATATGATCATATCTATGCTAATTACTATTACCTTTTAATTAGGGTCGTAGAACTAATTCTGGTGTCGATGATTCCACTTTCCAAGGATGTAAAAATGTAGCTATTATAAAATCATTCTTTAAACATAAATTATTTTTTTATTCATAAGCATGATCCATCGTTTATATATAGAAACGCAAAATAATTATATGCTTGATCCTCTTTGCATACATAGAAAATAATTAAAACCCTTATTCATTTAGAAACATACTTATATACATAGATTCAAAAACAAGCAATGTGTGTGAGATTCTACTTACTTCTTTTCAATTCCATCATTTAGTTTTCTCTCCCAAAAAATTAACGGCCTATTTAAGATAATTTCAACATAACAGTAATTAATCAACCCATTTTGAAACCAATTATACCTAAAATAATTAAATTAAATAAGAGTTAACTCAACTAATTAATATTGACAATCTAAGCTCTTTTCACTAAAATAGCCATATCTCAAGTTATCCAACTCAAAATTAAGATCTTTTTAATGAGTTAGAAACTAGACTCGACAAGCTTTCTAACCATATATGATCCATCTCATGATTTCTTGTAGATTAATTATAATAATTTTTGCAATCCACATCATATGTTGTTGCCAAAAGCATGTATACCTTCTAATAAAAATTACGTATTTATTCATAGGAGACTCAGAATTCAATTTCACTTGTTTTGTTGGAAAGTAGACTTAGTGACCTCTTTAAACATGTATGGCTCATCGCATAATTCCCATATATACAAATTAAGAGGAATTTCGTAATTCCTTCTTATTGCTACTATTAGGCACCCTACACATCCTTAAGTAAAAATTAAATTACTCTTCATAGAAAACTCAGAATTAACTTTCATTTATTTCATTGAAAAGTAAATTCAGCAACCTTTCCAACAATATATAATAATCATAGCAGTATTTTATCCCTTAATACAAAATATTACTTTAATCAATTACTATAAACACCAAGGTTCATACGAAATAGAAATTTTCTTTCTAATCCCACCAAATTTCTATTTCCTATTTTTACATAAATAAAATCAAATTACTAAACTTTCTCAACACTTTATTAGACCCTAATTAAAATCTAAATGATTTTCCCAAACTAATCTTGAAGACGGATAATGGATTTCCTAAAATTTTAGGGTTTTTTTTTTATTATAAATTATACCTCAAGACTTAACAATCAACATTATTTCTCCAAACTTGAAAGAAATTGTTTACTCATCTTTGACAGATAATTCTTCTTGTAGATTTTGTTATTACCCTTCACTTGAAATATTTCGATTTGTCTTTTCTATATAAGAAAGAGAAGAGAATAAGCTATTTTATTCAGTCAATTATCAGCCAAACAAATGGTAGATAACCTATTAAAAGTTGAGTTATTTATCAATAGGTCATATGCATTTCTCATTCTTTATTAAGAAGTCCCCCCACTTTTAAAAATAATTTTTTTTATGAGTATTATATTCTCCCCAACTTATAAAAAGTTTTGTCCTTAAAACTTAATTTACTTTCACTTTCAAATGATTGAGGATGTTCTTTTTTCATATCATCTTTCATTTTCCGAAGTTGCTTCTCTTGGTGTGTGGTTGCTCTATTGAACTTTTATAAAGCGAATAGTTTTGTCCCTCAAGACCTGCTCTTTTCGATCAACTATTCAAATAGGATATTCCAAGTATGTTAAATCTTCTTGAACTTTTAAAGCTTCATACTCTACCATAGCTTGGGTCAGAGATATATTTCCTTAACATAGACACATGAAAAACATTATGCACTCCAGATAGCTGAGGTGGTAAGGCTATCTTATATGCAACTTCTCTCATGTTATTGAGAATTTCAAACAGTTTTATATAACATGGGTTTAACTTTTCTCGTTTCCCAAACTATATAACACCTTTTGTGGGTGACACTTTTAAAAAGACATAGTCCCTTTGTTGAAATTCTAACTCCTTTCTCTTTTTGTATGCCTAACTCTTTTGACGATCTTATGCTACTTTAAGTCTCTCCCTAATCACCTAATCTTTTTCACAGTCAGTTGCACCATTTTCGGCCTCAAAATTTTTCTCTCCCTAACATCATTCCAACAAATAAGGGATCTACATTTCATAATGTACAAGGCTTTAAAAGGAGCCATCCCAATGTTGGATTGATAATTATTACTATAAGTGAACTTTGCTAAAAGTAAGTAATCATTCCAACTACCTTTTAGATCAATCACACATGCTCGAAGCATATCTTTGAAAATCTAATTCATTCTCTCTGTTTGCCCATCTATCTAAGGGTTAAAAGCTGTATTCAATTTCAAATTTATCCCCATAGCTTACTACAAGCTTACTTAAAATTTAGAGACAACTCTAGAATCTCTATCTAACATAATACTCACTGAAACTCTATGCAATTGGATAATTTGATCCATGTATTATGCTAGTTTATCAAGTGGAATAATCCACTTAATAGGTAGAAAATGAGTTGATTTAGTGAGTCTATCAACAACTACCTACACTGCATTATTCTCTTTCAATGACCTAGGCAATCCCATCACGAAATCCATAGAGATGTACTCTCACTTCCATTTCGGTATCTCTAAAGATTGTAATAACTCTAATGGTCTTTGGTATTCAACCTCAACTTGCTAACACATTAGACATTAAGACACAAACTGAGCTATTTCACGTTTCATGTTATTCTATCAATTTTTTTTTCAAATCCTTATACATCTTAGTGCCTCCAAGATGTATAGTGAATCAAAATCTATATGCTTCCTTCAAGATCTTTCATTTCAGTTTAAAATCATTTGGTACACACAATCTGTTTCTAAAGCATAATGTGTCATCCTCATGAAGCTTAAACTCTAGCCACAAATCATTTTGCACATCTTCTTTGATTTTATACAACTCGTTATCTTCTTTTGTGCCAATATTATATTTTTCATCAAAGTTGGTTGAACCAACAAATTAGCCATAACAATACCCTTTCTTTGTACAGTCACCTTAATTTGTTGCGTATCAAATTTTTTCCAATAATTTTGATTATGAAGTAATCAAAGCAACTATACTCCCAATGGGCTTTTTCTAAGAGCATCAGCGACTACATTGGCTTTGCCTAGATAATAATTGATGGCTAAATCATAATCTTTGATTAGTTTTAACCATCTTTTTCTG